CTAAATGAGGCAATGGTTAGAATTCCCTCATAAAAAATATTCACGACCAGTGTAGAGTACACATCAAGATTGAAGAGCAAATGTATTTATCTATCTATGTATCGCTTTGATGAATACTAATAGTAGTAATACTATCTATCGTTAGTAGTGTATACATGAAGAAGAAGCTAAACTACATACATAAAACAAAAGAATAGAGCCACTACATTTTAACTATATTTGTACAGTCATCAAAACAAGAATAAGATGATGTAAATATAGTCAAGAGGGAAGATGAGATGTGGGTTCTCAGAGATTGAGAGGCAGAAGAAGACTCATTACCTTTCTTGAGAAATCGAGAGACAGTCGAGAGATCGAGAGCTTGAGCGAGACGGAGCTTGAAATCATCAGTTGTTGACATCGAGAGCTGAGAGCGAGAAGGAGCTTGAAATCGAGACCTGGAGCAGGATGGAGGTTGTTCTGAAATTGGTTTCAGACCTAGGGTTCTCACTTAAAATTAAGAGGACAGTAAGAGGTAAAAAAACTCTTAATTTAAAAAAAAAACAGTCTGAAATCATTTATGTCTGATCTGACCGATTAAAAGTTTAGAGGTAATTAAGTGGAGAAATCTAAAAAACAAACAGCCGTTTAGTTTTTTATGTGTCAAGAGAATGTTGGTAACCAAAATTTAAAAGTTTGATGTTTTATTTATTCAGAAAAAATTATTCATGAATTTAGTCAATCAAAATGATAAAGTTTATTTTTTTTTAAATAAAAATTCAAAAACTTAATTATCTAAATATATTGAATTTTTCCAACTTTCCCTTTTAGGTATTTTCTAATGCCATTTTTTTTATTAACCTGGATATCCAATCCGTTATGCGAGTCGACTAATCCCATGGCAACTACCTGTTTTGCAGATAGTCCGGAGTCACCGTATTTGAACCTCCATGGCCACAAGGAGATTTTTATTCCTACTTGGATTTGAACCTGAGACCTTCTGGTACTTTTGACCTAAGCTCAAACCAATCAGGCACCACCCTTGTGGTTTAACTAATGCCATTTTTTGTTAACATGTTAACTGCATGCAGTCTCGACCATAGGCTATGCTTGCAACATCCACATGATCTAATGTTTACATTGAAAATGATCAAACAACCTTAAAAGGTGGTTTTGTTACTTTTACATGTCTTTTCTCTCGATATACTTATTAAATATTTCCTTTGTAGAAGAGTGATCTCGCAGTTACATTTCTCTAATACATTAGATGAATCAGTCTCCAAAGGAAATGCAGATAAAAATTGAGTTCCCGGACAACGATTTGAAGCGCCAAATTCCAAAATGAATTTGCAGAATTATTAGTTACTTGTCAAAAGTCAAAAAAGTACCCATCCATAAAAAAATTAAATATTGTAGATTACAACCTGTATGATTACTACCTCCAGTGATAACGTAATAAAGATAATGTATATTAAAATCTATGTTATAAACTTGTAATTAATGTAAACATCTGGACTTTCAAAACCATAATGATGAAGTATAAGAGAAGATCTTATGACACGGTGGTCAAAACCATCTCTGATGATGTCCGGTCTAGGCTTCTTAGTCTAACCTTAAACATTCTCGAACGTTGTCCAGACTAGGCTTGTTTGGAACCTTTTCTAGTGGTTGTTCGTCTCTTCTTTCCTCTATTCTCTCCTCCTCCTTTCTTGTTGCTCTGAGCTTTGCTACTTTCTGGTGTTTGCTTCAGTTTAGCTTCCACCCGACCGCTGTTCTTTTTAGAAGAGATAATTAATAATTTTTTATTCATTGGAGGAGCCTTATCCCTCTATATAAATAACATTTCTAGAAACCAAGACAACCTAGATACCTTACTTGGGTTCGAGCTTACACTTGCCACATTACTTTCTTATAAAAGGAAAGCAATCTGTCTGATTCGAATGTAGATTACAGTAGAATTTAATTCTGTAAGACAATAACTGTAATATTATGAAAATAAAACAACATGATTATACAAACAAAACCTAAAGAAAATTGATTGATTGATTGATGTGAGAGGGAATACTCCCTAAAAGCAAACACATAACATGTATGTCATTCGATCCTGAATTGACACCAATTTACAGCCATCATTTCGAATTTATTCCATGTTCTTTCGTCATCATTATATCAAACCTTCCTCTTCTTTTTTTTAACTGAAAAGGCTTTTTTCTAATTACTACAATTATCACGGAGTATTGTCCAAGTGATTCATTATGCATATATAATAATCAATCTCACTAATCAAACCACTTCATATGCATATGGTTGACCATAATAGTTTTACCTATTATCATCATTACAATAATAGTATTTGAAGGATAATTCAGACATTTGACATGCATTTTTATCTAATGTGTGGAATCAATTATGTCAAAGTATAGTCTTATGAAAAAGGGTGTTATGGTTTGAGCTTAAACACATATGGTTATGCTTATGCTTATATATATATAGAGAGAGAGAGAGAGAGAGTTCGTTTCAAATACAACCCATCGTATTTATACAACCAATGCAACCCAATAAATTGAGATATTTATGGAAATGATGAGAGTTCGTTTATTATGATTTGAATATATATGGAAAATGAATATGGTTCATTAATTAGGATCAATACTTTATATTAGGAAACAACCAAAACTTCTATGAAATCACATATTAATCAAATGAAATGGATGGTTGAGATTGGGTTGTATTGGTTCCACAAATGTCAAGGGTTGTATAATAACCAACATCTCTCTCTCGCTCTCTCTCTCTCTCTCTATATATATATATATATATATATATATATAGAGAGAGAGAGAGAGAGACTTAAGATCATGTGAGACCAATAATTTTTCGTGAGACCCATAACACAAGTTGAAAGGAAATATGGAATTTGTTGAAAAAACATTAATCAACAAGTTTGGTTTATGAAAGTTGACCTTTATAGAAGAAGGATTAGGTAGGTGACATTAGTGTTGATTGCATCTAGATTCCTTTCTCCTCCCACCCTACCTAACCTAATACTTTATTAACATTTTGATTTCTAATCCCCCCCCCCCCCCTTCCTCTTAATTGATAGACTAATTGATAGGCTTAATGGCTAAGATAGGAGAGCTTATTCAATCAACCAACTAATAAAAGTAATATACATTCAACCATCTTTTTTCCAAAATATATCATTACACATCTCCTCCATCCAGATATCTTCGATCGCAGCCTTGTCCCTGGGCTCATAACACAACGACACCCCCTTGCAGTTGTCGATAGGGGTGTAAACAGTTTGAGCTTTTAGTAAGCTACTCGTGTTCAAGCTAAGTAAATTCTCGAGCTCGAGTCAATCTCGAAAACAAAATAAAGCTCGATTAACTTAACCAGTTGCAGTCCATAACACCAATGTTTTATTCGGCTTGTTCGAGAGCTCGATGAAACTTTACGAGTCAAGGTGAGTCATTCGAACATACACTTTTTCGAACGAAACGTATATTATATGTTTATAAATTATAGAATCAAAATATAAAACTGAGCTCGAATAACATAGTACTCAAACATATTGTATGAAATCCTACATAAACATAGGATTTTAAAATCCTTAAGGGATGCTCGGGATTTCACGGGATTTCGTAAGATTTTATGAAATAAGGTATTAAAAAAATTTAAAAACGTTTGTTTTGTAATAATTGATTAATAAAAATGTAATTTAATTATTTTTATAATTATTTATAATCTTTTATAAATTATTTATAAGAAATAAAATCCAATTTCATTGCAAATCCAACAAACCAGACACACCAATAATTTCAAATCCCTCCAAATCCAAATCCCTAAAAAACAATCATGCAAACCAAACGAACCCTTAAAAATAATTAAATTACATTTTTATTAATCGATTATTACAAAACAATTTATTTTAACATTTTTACGATCCTTATTGCATACAATATTACGAAATCCCAAGCACCCCCTAAAGATTTCAAAATCCTATGTTTGTAGGATTCCAATTAAACCGTAGGATTTCAAATCCGGACAATTCAACAAACCAAACATTAGAATGGATTTGAAATCCAAATCCCCCCAAATCAATTTCATTCTTGCAAACCAAACGGGACCTAAAACTTCAAATCCAAACAATACAACAAACACAAATATAGGATTGGAATGGATTTGAATCCAAATCCCTCAAATTCATTTCATTCCTACAAACCAAACGATACTTAAAAGATTTGTTAATGATTTTAAACTGAAATCCCAATTAAGATAACAGAATTTCTTAGTCCATTTATTGGCCACAATTCTGATAAATCATGAGACATGACTTGTATTAATAGTGATGGCCAAAAACCGGTCTCGATCGAAAATAGTACGACCAATCAAGGTACTTCATAACTGGTTATGGGCCGCCGGTCCCGACATTAAAAAATAATATTTTTTTAATTTTTTTAATGATATATATTTTTAAATTACAATCGGCCTACTTAAATACACTTTAAAAATGCGTTTTAATATGATTACAATTACATTGTTTTATAAAAATACATTATAAAATTATCTAAAAATACATTTATTTATAAAATTATTTGAATTTTCGGGCCGGTCCAGTCCATAGCCGGTCCCATAACTAATCCCGGTCCCATGAAACTACCAAAAACCCCAACCGGTCCCGATTTTCGGTCCCATAAACGGTCCTTATCGGTCCAGGTCCTCCACCGGTCTCGAGCCGGACCGGGCCGATTTGACCATCACTACTTGTGCATCATCATAAAATGTTGAGTACCATTTGGAAAGTTGAGTTGGGCTCAATGTTACATTTTGAAAGATGAATTGGGCTTAGTTTCACATTCCTGTTTTGAATGATGCAGCTTAAATAGTAAAACAAAATTAAAGAACGAATAAATGTAATTTGATGTCTAAAATACGAACAAAATTTTATATAAATAAAACAAGTAAACATCGATTTGAACCAATATCATTACTCTTTTTTTTTTTTTCTTTTTTTTTGTCACTTTCGACCTTCCTTGTTCAATTAATCTTCTCGTCTGTTCACAACTGTACCTATTCCACAGCCACACAAACTGTTTTCAAATCATCAGTTCTCAAATTAACAACGTTTTAAGATAAAATCAGTATAATGTTTTTAAATTTTTCGTATGGTTTTTATTGAATTAATCAACATGTATTTGTTTCACAACGTGAATTCTTTATTATGTGTTTGTGAAACAAAAAATACAACTAAAGAGTTTCACATTATAAACCAAATACATATGAAACACACATTGTGAAACAGATATATGTTAATCAATATTATTAAATTATAACGATGAATGAAAAAAATCATGTGAAGTAATATCTAAAGATAATAATTCTCACAATCATCAGAGTACAGGATATTCTCAAATAATCGAGCTCATTTATATTTAGCTAATTGGATGGTAATTGTGATTTATATAATGTAAGCAATTTTATAAATATGTGACTAACAAAATAAATTTATTAAAATATTTAGGGGCCGTTCACTAAATGTTTACCTGGTATGTACTTACCGGACAATTTTCCTCACTGGACAAACATGGCAAGACCCAAGAATCTTACCTGGTAAGAGTGATGATAAGGATAGAGAGTCTTACCCGGTAAGTGAGGGTGACGACTCTTACCTGGGTAAGCGCTTACCATATATATTGTTCCACATGATACCATTTTGATATATACTACAATCTTATCTAGAAAATAAATTATAGTGTTGACTTCTAACAGCAAGCGTTTACCGGGTAAACATTTAGGTCACAGCCTCTTAGTAAAAACTATCAGGATGCATTGACACTTTATCTATTAGGTAAAATACAATTAAAACTAAATAAATATAAAATTATAGAAACCAGATCCAATGGATGTTTTTTTAACAACATGGTACCAAATGGGCATATATTATGGTTCTTGTACCATGTTGCCAAGAAAGTGGTCATAACATGATAAGAGGTTGTTTATTTACCTCTTAATAGTTTCATTAATAGGCAACATTTGAATCATTAAATATTTTATAAATATAAATAATGGAATAATTTATATTTTTAATCCCCAAGGTTTAAAAAATATAATTTGTAACTTAATCTAAATAAATATGAAGTTGTATTTGTACCTGGAGTTGGAGTAATTCTTTTGGGCTTCGAAAGAATAGCAGGAATAGACACAGGCCCATAATATGGCCCACCAGCAGCACCTTGATTGTAGTGATGGAGAGGGTACATGGCTACCAATGCATTTGCACCCACCATAGCCTGACCCGGATACACGTGCGTGTAGGCCCCACCCATATATCCTATTTTCTGAAACAATAATTATTTAATTAATTATTGGAAAAACACCATTAATTTTATAAAACAGGATAGCGAATGTCTTTGATGCGCGTTCATTGGCGTAAATGCAGCTGAGCTGGATCCACTTACATGATTGTAACCGACATTATACGTCGCCGGGCCATAACCGTAGTACGGCACGGTGCTTTGATGATGGTGCCGGTGAATGAACGGCGACGGCGTAGGTGGATAGTACCACTGCACGTGACCAGGAGGAGGCGGTGGCGGTGGAGGTGGCGTCACAGTCCCGGCGGATCTCGGCCCCACGTTCACATTAGGTCCTACAAATCCGATATTAGACAAAGACAAAATGCACGCATGCAGACTTGTACGGTACAATCTGAATTTTAGAAAAGTGAAGGCTACAATACCATTTTGATGCGGCGGAGCAACAGATAGTGATCTTTGCCGGCGAGCACCGAGAGAAGCCAGATTGCAGTTTGCACGACGGCCGTTGATCACCGGCGCCGGATCTTCGCAAGCCTTTTTAGCCGACTCTGGGTCCTTAAAAGTCACCTGAGAACCACAAAAAGCGCACGTTAGCTGAATCAGAAAAATCAGAACGAATGAAACGTCGATTCGTGAGAAGGAATTGAAGTAACAAACATACGAATCCGTAGCCTTTGGATCGACCGGTGGTTTTATCGGAGATTATGACGGCTTCTAAGATGTCGCCGTAGGTGTAGAAGTGGTCTCTGAGGGCGTCATTAGGAGTCTCCCAAGCCAATCCTCCGACAAAGACTTTGGTCAGCGTGGTGTCGCCGAAAGGTCCTACATTGTTGCGGTTGCCCGAAATCATCATCATAATCGACCAATCGGAGTTTGGCCAAATCTTAAACCATGCGAAAGAGCGATTAAGAGTGAGGTAGAAGGGGTGAGGAAGGAAGATATATATAAAACGGAAATCCACTGTTGTGATATTATATTTGTATAGTCTTTCGTTTGACACAAAGTCAAAATTGAAAAGGGTGTTTGGATCCATAATTATCCTTAAATTTATCCTTAAATTTTTAAATATAAAAAAGTAAACATTAGTTTTATAGGGACGTGTAAGGGGCTATTTGGCAATTGCTGAATGGTTTTGTGCAGAATGATTAAGAGGCTCTCATGATATAGTACAAAATGAAATATAATTGTTTGGTAATTGTGTATAATGAAATTAGGGCTCTTAATGGTTAAGGGAGATCCAAGATACAAAATCATTCAGAGGATTTTAGAACCATTAAGAGGCAGACTTTTTTTTGTCAAACAAGATTCACCTCTTAACGATTCAGATATTGCCTCTTAATAGAACTATTAAGAGATAAACAAACAACCCCTAAAACTGTCATCTAAATTTTAATAGGGATGGAGTCTTTGTTTGGGATGAAGAGAGAAGAAACAGGAAAAGCTACATATAATTGATTAGAAGTTTTAAAGTAAATAGAACGTGATTTAGTTTTTATAGTTCTCAAACCTACATCATTTAAACCGTTCGTACCTAACGCCATCCCCCCGTCATCCGCTCCCTTTGATCACTATTGGCACTGTTATATGTACTCATTTTAATTTGTTATAAAAGAGAGAATTACAAGACATAAACAAGAGAAAAATCGATGGCAGGGCCAACAATGATGATGGATGATATGGAAAAGGGCAAGGATGGTTTATTTATTAAAAGTATGTTTAGAGAATTAATCATTCAAAATGATTAAACTTCAAGGTGGCGTTTGGTTCGCAGATTTTGAAGGAATCTGATTGAATTGGAATATTGAATTTCATTGACCAAATTTCATTCCCTCATTTGGTTCATTCTTATTCACGGAATAAATCTTCAAAATCCTACAAATTCCATAAATAAAAGAATTTAACATTCCTTAACAACTACATAGTATTTTGATGGAATGGAAATCTCTATTTTCATAATATCAAATATGTCCTTAACCCAATATACTTTAATCTCATAAAACCCAATATGACCATTGCCGACCACCTTCGACCACCGTGGATTTGAATCACCGCCGACCACCGTCATCTGAACCACCACTGACCATCGCCCTCTGAACCACTGCCGACCACCAACACCAACTATCATCTATTTGAACCACCACCAACGATCTGACCTGTCGTTGATTACCTCCATTTGAACCACCATGGGCCACCACTGATCTGAACCATTGTCGACCATTGCCATCTGAACCACGGTCGATCTGAACCACCACCAACTACTACCGAACTGAATCATTGCCGACTACTGATGATCTGAACCACCGCCAACCATCACCGATCTGAACAATCACCAATTTGACCTATCACTGACCTGAACCACAACCGATCTGGACCACATCCGACCACCGCCACCTGAAGCACCATGGACCACCACCAATCTGAATCACCATTGGACACCGCCGACCACCAACGATTTGAACACCCATCGATCTGAACCACTATTGTCACCACCGCCGACCATTGTTTGATTTAGCAACGTCGTTTGGCTTATGGTTATATTTGGGTTGTGTATTTTATATTGTTTTACATACTAAATAATTATTTTTAGTTTTAAAAAAATTAAAATTTTCAAAAAAGGACATTTTGGTCATTTACCAATATTTCATTCAAATTCCAAAGCTACATTATGTGAACCAAACATACAAATTCCAATTCCTTAATAAATTTCATTCCAATGTCTGTCAACCAAACAGATCGTCAAAACTGACAATATTCCATTCTAATTTATTCAAAGTCATATCCTTTTAACATATTTCATTTCATCCAAAAATATTCTGCAAACCAAACGTCACCCAATTATTTATTCGTCAAAAAGATTCAAGAATTCAAATCATTTAAAATGAAAAAAATTCTTTGGTTTTTTCTGAATTTTTCTCTTTACTTTTCTTAATCAGTTAATAATTGTTTTTTAAATGGAGCAAGCTAAAACCTTAACCTTAATTTTTCGAACAAGATTGGTCTCGGGCCTATGAGACGGTCAACCCAAGTTTGATCTTTACCGGTGCAGATCTTCTTTGAACTACGTTAACTAGGTTTTGACGAGCCCGTACTTTTTCTTATTGATTCATAATACTTATTCTAACATTGATTGAGCATTCAACTACGTCACTACAAAAAACAAGTTCCAATAACACCATGTAAAAGCAAATACAATGGTCGTATTTTTTGGATTTCTTACTAAAAGTAATGGTTAGTTCTTTATGGTATTTAATTTTTTTCCCATCAAACAACATATAAAAGTATGGGGTTGGGTTCCGATAAGAATGAAAGTTAAGATGAAAAAAACGTGAGAAAGAATCTCACCATTGGATCAAATCCTAATTGAAGAGAAATATTAGATCAATTCACATGTAAAATACAATTCATGTGTTTGTTTGAAATTAAAAGTGATCAATGGTCCAAATCTCTTCTTACACTTTTAACTGTAACTCATATTCTCACATCATCATTCTGAATTATATACATTCAGATTAAACAAAAGATTTATTAATAGCATATCTGATTATATAAAGTATACAGTTTCAATAAACTACAATCCAAAATAAAGATTCAAATTCAAATTCAAAATCAAGAAGTTTAATAGATTAATAAAAATATAAAATCGTTATCACAATACCCCATAACTTTCTAACATGTAACGTTGAATTAAGATTATAATGAAAAATAATATATGGAATTTTTTAATTTTTTACTTCTTTAAATTTTATTAAATAAACCATTTTTTATATTATAAAATAGTTAATCGAATAAATTGTAGATTTTATTAAAGGGCGAAGGTCGGCCGTACATGAGGGAGGAACATATGTACGTGCCCAGCTGTCATGATGCGGTAGGTTTGCCCTTATACTCAAGGAATTTGGTCCGACCCAGTCACCCACATCGGCTGGCCCCAATTGTCACCATGGAATTCCAACACCATTATTATTTATTTTTATACCTCTCATGTGTTGTTTGATAATTACCGGATGGTTTGATGCAAAATGATTATATGGTTAAAGTGATTATGAGGCTCTCATGATATAATGCAAAATGAATTATAATTGTTTGGTAATTGTGTACAATGAAATTAAGGCTCTTAATGATTAAGGGAGATCCATAATACAAAATCATTCAGAGGGTTTTAGAACCATTAAGAGACAGACTTCTTTTACCAAACAAGATTCACCTTTTAACGATTCAAAGATTGTCTCTTAATGAAACTATTAAGAAGTAAACAAATAAAATCAATATCTAAAATAACACATTTTCCTTTAAGAAATAAGATATTTGAGTTGCTATTCAAGATATTTCTGTAAAAATTTAGAGATTTAAACCCTTAATTATCAATTTAATCTAAAATTAGTCTTCAATCAATTACTTGTGTACTTAAATGTTTAAAATTTTACATCTTAGTTACTAAAATAAAAAAATTTAAAATACGTTAACCAAAAATAAAAATCAAATTAAAGTTAAACCGTATGGACCATTTTTAATTTATTTCTTTTTATAGAATTATAAGGAAAAAAATGCAAGAGGCAATCAAACGACCTTGCACCAACCCAAGGATTGGAGGCCACACGGCGTGGATGGCTGCTCATTTCTAACGTGGCCAGCTGGCTGTCTCTCTCTCCCTCTATATATATACTTTCATTCCAAAGTATATTGAGTAAATTACAATTTTGGTCCTTATGGTTTATTCTTTGTCTTGGTTTGAGACCCTACAAAAATTTCAGTCATCTCATTTTTTTTACTTTCCATTTAAGATAAAAGATATTATCTATGCTATATTATAAATCATTTGGCTAAAACTTTTAAAACTCTTAAAACTCTTAAACTCGTTCATCCATAAACGATTTCATTCCTATCCTATTCTATCTCATATTTGAATTCGTATAACTAACTGCAGATAAACACAATCAAATACAGGAAAAACATCTCATTTTAAATATAAAAAAATCTAAAATATAATTAGGATAATTATTGAGTTCTAACAGAATACTTAATTATTAT